CATACGACACACAGGCCAGCGGCTGCTGCCGAGGCATGGCCAGATAGAACACACACATACCCCCCAAAACCCAATCACTCTACAGGACCGCCTACCCAAAAGACCCATTGCCCTGCCTGAGACTACCCACCCTGAAATCATCCAGCATGGAGGAGAAGGCGAGAAAGCAACTGCAGAGCCAGCATTTAACAGAGGGGCAGGATTCCTGCTACAGGGCCTCTCTGGAGTCAGAAGAGGCCCAGCGCCCGGCGCGGTAGCCTGATAGCTAAAGTCCTCGCCTCTCATACGCCAGGATCCCATTTGGGTGCCAGCTTGTTTCCAGCTGTTCCATTTCCCTTCTAGCCCCCCGCCTGTGACCTGGGAAAGCAGTGAAGGACGGCCCAAAGCTTTGGGACCCTGTACCCACATGGGAAACCCAGAAGAAGCTCCTGGCTTTGGATAAGCTCAGCTCCGGCCTTTGCAGCCACTTAGGGAGTGAACCAGCAAATGGAAGATCTTACTCTGTCTCTCCTTCTCTCTGCAAATCTGACTCTTCAATAAGAATAAATAAATCCTTAAGGCCGACCCGGCTCAGAAAGATCTAGGAATCTGATCAGACTTCACAAAGTGAAGCACTGAGGAGCTATGTGGCCTCAGCTTTAAGAATCCCATGGAGGGAGAGGGTGCTTACTCTTTTTCCCTCTGCAAGCCTCCACTGCTCTACTTCCCCAGGGACAAGCACCTGTGGGGTCTTCAGTGGAACAGGTGCTTACTGCTGGCCTGCCTTGAACCTTCAACAGCCTCTCAGAGTTCTGAGTCAACGAGGGGAGAGAGAAGGTACCAGAAACCTGCAACAGCCCCGGGCCTGCCTCCAGGTCCACCGGTTGCTGGAGTTCCTTTAACCCCTCCAAAGGAGCCACTTGGTTCCCTCGCAGCCAGGTCACTAACGGTGGGGGTGGGGAGGTCCTAACGGGCCAGCCTGGGGGTGGGATTTCCCTCCAAGTCCTCTCCTCACCAACCCGGGACTCACCTGGACCGGCACGTTGTACTTCTTGCGCTTCTGGAAGATGCCCACCGGGTACACCTCACGCACGTAGAGGATGAGGTGCACGGCCACCTCCAGGAACTCGCACAACACGTCCGCCACCACTGCAGGGAACACACGACCGGCCGCGCGCTCGGGGTCGCCCGCGGGCCCCCCGGCCCCCAGTCCGCAGCCCGCAGGCCCGGCCCCCCTACCTTGGCCAAAGTTGAGGTCCTGTCGCGTGAGCGTGGTCATCCTCCCCGTTACCTGGGGGTGGGACAAGGCCGGGGGGTCGGTCCCCGGGCCGGGGAGCACCAGGACCGGCACCAGGCGCCCCCTCCCGCGCCAAAGCAGGGACGCAGAGGCCGGAGCTTGGGGGTCCTCAGCGGCGCCCCGATCGGCCTCCCGCGCCCGAGACCCGCAAACAGCAAAGCACGGCGGACGCGGAGGGAAACAGCCCGAGGCGCAAGGCCGAGCGCGCAGAGCCAGACACGCGAGGAGATGAAGCGAGGCTTCCTACGGGACCAGACCCCTCCGTCGTGGGACTCCGGCTCCCTCTCCCTTCCTCGGAACCGGCTCCGGCCGGGGACCCAGGGCGGGGAGGCAGCGCCCGGAGCCCTCGCGCCTCCCGCTCAACCCGCAGGCTCGGCGCCGCTCGGTGACGTGCGCGGCGCCCGGGCGGGTCCTAGCGCCGCCGCCCAGCCACGCCCCCTCCCTGTCCTGCCCAACCCGGGCCACGCACAGGGCGGGCCCAGCGGGCGGGGCGTGGGCGGGCCCAGGGCGCCGTGGGCGTGGCCTCGGGAGAGACACACCTGGCACGCAGTGGGCGGGCCCAGGGCGCAGTGGGAGTGGCTTCTAGAGAGACACACCTGGCACGCAGTGGGAGTGGCCTTGGGAGACACGCCTGCCGCGCTGGGGGCGGACCCAGCGTTTTGTGGGCGGGGCCTTGGAGGGCGATCCCAGCCCGCAAGGGCGGGGCTTCGGGCGGGCCCAGTCCAATGTGGGCGGGGCTTCGGCACTAGCTTCGAGTGGGTCGCCTCCCTACCACTTGGGGTGCAAAGACCTCCGGGGAACTCCGCTGGGAACACCCTGTACTTTCCCCTCGTGGAGACAATGGGGGACACCGGGTGTGAGCTGAGGGTACAGACACCTGCTAACCGTGGGGTGTGTGTCTCCCAACGCTCAACTGCCCAACCGAGAGGCAGATGGGGCGCACGGGGCACGCCCCGCCCCACCCCCACCTGGTGTTTTAAATTCGGACCAGCTCTGCTGTCCTAGAGGGTGATGACTTGCGGAGGGAACCTACTGATTTGGGGAGTGACGGGAACCACTTCCCATCCAGTTCTGGCTAATGCACCTGGGAAAAGCAGGGGTGCTTTTTATAGAGGGCAAAAGTGTTCCCTAATTCACCAAACCCCACAGTCCACACAGAAAGACAGGTCTAGCGGGATGTCAGCCCTTGTTACCGTCAGCAATGTTCACGGTTTACACCTCATTACCAGAGTATTGTGCTGAACACACATGTGATGGGGAGGCCAATTAAAACCCAGAATCCTGCAGCAGAATCCCCAGGGAGGCTCTCAAGGACCGCATTGCCTGCAGCCCTTACCCATCTAAGTGCAGGTGCAGAGCACAGCACTGGCCCCTTAAGCAGCATCCCAAGGCCCTAATTGCCCCCAGGAAGTGTGGGGATTGCCTTGGTCCTAGGGGGTGTCTGCATTCTGTAAAATTGCAATGCTTATCCCAAAGGGACTGGTGAACATGGTAGCACTCTGGGGGCAAGCGACCTTTCTCAAGCCTTGGGGACCTGCCCCTGTCAAGGCACGAGATGAGCTTGCGTACACAGGGCTGGCTAAGTGGTCTGCTGGCTTGTGGACCGTCTCCTGGCTCCTTCAGATTGAATTCTTGCTACCCAGACTCCTAAGCTGCTGTCTTGCTCGGGGGTGGAGCGGTGGGCAGTGACCAGATGTTTCTAATGGGGTGCTTTTCACCTGAGTCTACAGTAGGAGCAGGTGTAAGACAGACAGGATCGAGCCACACCCTCGCTTCCCAGGCTCCTGAAAAGACCTAGGCCTCCTGACACACAGCTGAGAATGTTGTAGAAGTGTGGAAGAGGCAAGCCCTATGAGGAAATGGGACTCCCGACAGCCTTCGCTGGGACAGCAAGCACTCGCCTGCCTTGAGCTCCACATGAGAATATCCGGATGTGGAGCCTTGCCTTCAGAGCCCATCAGCAAGAAGGTAGCGGTGCTGGGGACAAGGGAGAGCAGGGATTGAACTTGCATCACCCCACGCCCCAAAAGGCCTCAATCGCCTACTTGTCTGCGAAAGACAGGCTGGACAGATGTTCTCTAAACTGCTGAGGGGCCAAGAAGCTGGGGACAGCACTGGCCAGGAGCCCTGGGGGAGCACCATCCATCCCTGGGGACTCTGCGCATCTGGCTTCCCCTAGCTTAATCGCATCAGCATGATGGATGGCTGAGGAACGGGTTGCATCAGGGGGTTAATTCATTATAGTCTTGAAGACCCATGTGCTGGGAGACTGTCTTCCAGTGTTATTTGCATGATTTTCACCATCAGGAGAATGTGTGGAGAGGCATCTGGGAGCAAAGCATGGCTGTTGCCAGCTGGAGCAGCTCCCTGAGGGTCTGCAACGGGGATGGAGGGGGAAAAATCACTCCCACGGAAATGTCACTGGAGCTGAGAGGAGGGGCTGTGGAAAAGCATGAACACCTGAACACAGGCCAACGCAGGCCTGGACACAGGACAGAGGACACAGGCAGGACACAGGCAGGGAGCTGGCTCACACCACGGGCCACAGAACACCCAGATCCCAGAAGCAACCAAAGCCCACCCACCCATCAGGCTGTCAGAGAGTGTGCGCTCAGTCATCCTGCCTAAGGTGCCCAGCCACTGAACACTTTGGGGTGACACGAGGGGACACCACACACAGGCTGGCAGCCATTCCACTGGCAGCACAGTAAATGAGTGAATGAAACCACAGGAGGGATGAAATGATGGAGAACAGTGGCTCCTTCCTGAATACCTGCTTATCTAGTTGAGGGGCACCGGCTCCAAGTGGTGCAGTGGGTAGGGCAGAGCTGTTCCCAAGGACAAAGCTAAGACTGTAGAACACTCCTTAACAATGGCAGCCCAACCCCCCAGATCTACTCACACTGCCAACCTGCTGCTTTTCTCCCAGCACACTGCTTACCTAGCTGGATGGTCCTTCTCTCCCTGGACCTGAGCTTGCTCTTACCGAAGTTGGGCTGAGAAACAACACACCCACTCCCGGGCGATGGTTGCTAGGCTCCCCGCGCGCTCTGGAGAAACTTCCTGCTTTTCCAAATCCCAAGCCAGAGCCCTGAGCTTCGGCCAGCATTACCTGGTGACTTCTAGCACCTCAAAGCAAAGCCTGCATCTGCTCCTCCTCCTCCATCTTCTCCTCTGACCTCCCGTTAGTCCCAGAGGCCTGCGGACCATCTATTGTCAGAACTTTGACCTCTGCCCCCAAACACTCAGTATTCCGCTATCCCAGGCATTCCAAGCTCCACTGAGGCCACCTGGACTCCCTACGAGTTCTGACTCAACTCACCTGCCGCTTAGACAACAGCAATCTGCTCCACAAGCCCTGATGTCCCCCGTGGGCTCTGTGTGGCTCAGTGACCTGAATGTGATCACCAAGTGTGCTCATCCCCACCACCAAGCCCAGAACACTCTCCTCCCCCCAACCAGCAAAGCCAGGCCTCCCCACGTTCCCTGTGCCCCAGTCCCTGACAGCTATAACGTCGGGTCTCCACGAACTTGCCCTTGCTGGACCTTTCCTGGGGTGGATTCACACACCCTGCCACACTTTCAGTTCAGCTTGCTGCACTTAACGTCGTGTGTCCGGACTTCATCCAGATGGCGCCTGTTTATAGCTGAGTAATATTCCCCTGTGTGGACATGGTACGTGTGCTTACCCCCTCATCAGCTGGTGGACATTTGGGTTCGCTTTGGTCATCCAGCTGTCACATATTGAGACCCAAAGTCACCAGAGCCTGCACGGGACAGGAGCCCAGGCCTCCCCTGACAGCCACCACTCGTTTCTGCATCACCCTGGGAGAGCAGAGTGCAAGAAGGCAGAATGCTCACCCCACTGGAGAAGTTGGAGAGCCTGCCTGCGTTCTGCTCCCAGCACACACCAGGAGTTGAGCCGACCACACTTCCCCTCCAAGGAGGAGAATCACTCCTTTGTCAAACTCCCATGCCCAAGCCGCGATCAGCTACTCTCCGCCACAGTTCCTAACTGGATTCCCTGCTCTTGCCCTTACTCCACGGTTTTCTTTCCTCAACTCTAGGAATCACTGTGCCCCAAACGGCGACTGCCTAGGTTGACTTGGACATAGGCAGATGTCACACTGCTGGAAGGAAAGCAGCCAGTACCTGGTGAGTGTTCTGGGCCTGGTTAATGCCAAATTTGTGTTAACTATACCTACCAGTGTGCCAGAATAGTTGCTTAATCTTTTCTTCTTTTCTCTCGCTTTCTCTCTCTCCTCCTCCTCCCTCCCTCTCTCTTCCTCCCCCACCCCCCCACCCTCACCGCTACAGTGGGAAAGGCAGGGAACTCTGGCCTTGTACATGCCACCCAGCACCCAGGCAGATTGCCCAGGGAAGGGCATTCAGGGACATATCTGAGTGAGTGCAGCTGAGAGCGTGTTTGACAGGGGAGAAATGACTTCAGGGGGCTTCCATGGGGCAGGCCACTGCACTCACAGACAGATGAGAGAGCTGAGAAGGAGTGGTTTAAGGAGGGAGAAAGGGAGGGCATGCCTGGGTCAGGCCAAGGTACTTACCCACATGGGAGGCTTGGGCTGGGCTAAATAACATTGCCTGCTGCCCACTGGGGCTGGGAGATACACCTACCTGTGCTGGGCTGCAGTACTTGCCTGGGAGTCTCAGAGCAAGGAGTGGGCCACATTAGGATGGGCCACAGCATCGACCAGAACACAAGAGAATGAGATCTGGGGGGCAGATTCTGTAGGGGAATTGGGGTTTGTTTTTGTGGGACTGTAGTACCCACTAGTTTACTCAGAAAGGTGGGTGTGGTTATGGGGCCGAGCCAGGCTAGGCCACAGAACACCCCCTGACAGGAATCCACACTCACTGGAACTGGGAGGAGGCCAAGCAGGGCCAGGCTGCAGCACCCACCAGCACATGCAAAGGCCAGAACTGAGGGCAGATCATGCCAACCAGGGCTGTGGCACCTGCTGGCATGCAAGATCCAAGACCTGGTAGGGGAACTTGGAAAACTCCTCTACTAGGCTGCAGCTCCCACTGGGAAGTACAAGAACCAGTGCTAGGGGTGCGACAGGTCATACAAGGCTGTAGCACTAGTCTGCATATATATGGGGTGAGTCTGGGGGCAGGCCAGACTGGACTAGGCTCCAGCACCCGCTGGCGATCACAAGAGCCAGAATGGGATGAACTAGGTATATGTGAGATTCGTTGCTGGGAGCAGGTCTGGTAGGAACTCCCCTGCTAAATTGTAGCTGTTCTTGGTGAGCTTGAAAGCTGGGGTTGAGAACAGGTTAGACCAGGCTGGGTTATAGCACCCATTGGAATATGTGTGAGTTGTACTGGGAGCGGGCTAGGCATGGTGA